CCTGTTTATCAATGATATTGGGACTGATATTAATAGGAATATTTCAGTTTTTGCTAACAATACCAAAATTTGTAGGGTAGTAAACTCGACAGAAGACATAGAAATATTAAAGGGAGATTTGAATAAAATAGACGGGTGGGCATCTACATGGCAGATGAGGTTTAATATTGAGAAGTGTAAGGTTCTGCATTTTGGTATACTCATTATTGGGCTTTCCACTGGGGGAATCAGAGGTGGAAAAAGATTTGGGAGTCCTGGTGAACTGTAACTGTGCCTTAGTAACAGTATGCAAAACCAGGTAGCAGCAAAAAAGGCGAGCAGGGTACTATCATGTATAAAAAAAAAAGAATGTACTGTAAAGACATGAAAATTCTGCCCCTGTACAAAACACTGGTCCGCCACATCTTGAGTATGCGGTTCAGTTTTGGTCACCAATCCACAGAAAGGATGTCCTTGAGCTGGAGAGAGTCCAGAGAAGGGCAACAAAAGGTAATAAAAGGGGTTAGAAGACCTAAACTATAAGGAAAGACCGCAAGGGTAGAGCTGCAACAATTAATCGACATAATCGATTATTGAAAAAGTTGTCAACTTTTTCAGTAATCGATTAATCGGCTTGTGATCAGTTGGACCTGTTCACGGCTCCACACACGCTGCACCTCCTCCCCAACTCATGCTCACCGCTGCCAGACCCGCCCGCCTGCATCCAGGCTCCACACCTCCTTCCCGCCTCACACTCACCGCCCGCCCACATCCACAATCGGCACAGGGACGCGGGGAGATGTAGTAAGGAGGAGCAGGTGCGGGAGGGATGACAGCCGCCGATAGACAGGCCCGATCTCAGAAGCAAGTTGCTGGAAGACTGCTCAGGTAAACCTGCACTTTCCCACATATGGTGCTCTACAATGTATTGCTGAGATTTGTATTCCTCTATAGCTGATGGTACATTGTGCTGTATATTATACATAAGAATACATTATACACTGTATGTATAATGTACTATTGCTGGGATTTGTTGTACTCCTCTATAGCTGGTGATATTCTGCACTGCATAGAGGACTACAAATCCCAGCAATAATACATTAAGTGTAAAATGATACAGCAATGAATGCAGAATGGCACCGGCTATAGAGGACTACAAAACCCAGCAATAGTACATTATACAGCACAATGCAGAATACCACCAGCTACAGAGGAATACAACAAATTCCTGCAATAATACATTATACAGTGGTGCACTGCCGAATACCACTGGCTATAGAGGACTACAAAACCCAGCAATAGTACATTATACAGCGCAATGCAGAATACTGCCAGCTATAGAGGACTACAAAACCCAGCAATAGTACATTATACAGCACAATGCAGAATACCACCAGCTACAGAGGAATACAACAAATTCCTGCAATAATACAGTATACAGTGGTGCACTGCCGAATACCACTGGCTATAGAGGACTACAAAACCCAGCAACAGTACATTATACAGCGCAATGCAGAATACCGCCAGCTATAATGTGCTATTGCTGGGATTTGTTGTGCTCCTCTATAGCTGGTGATATTCGGCATTGCGCTGTATATTTTATTGTTTATCCGATTAACAGATTAACCGAACGTAATAATCGGCTAACTAATCGATTTTGAAAATAATCGTTAGCTGCAGCTCTACGCAAGGGTTAAACTCTTGAAAAGAGGAGACTGAGAGGGGACATGATATTAATGTACAAATTGTTTAATGGTGATGGGATAATCAGTAATAAAATGTTTACTGTTAGCTCAGTCAAGAATTCAAGAGGCCACCATCTGAAAATGGAAGAGAAAAGGTTTAATCTTAAACAGCTGTAACATTGTGGAACTCCCTTCCACAGACAGTGGTATCAGCTGAGAGTAGGGAATCATTCAAGAAATATCTAGATACTTTTCTCAGTGCACAAGATATACAGGGGTGCAGGTAATCGTAGTAACACACAGACACAAAACCCAAAGGTTGAACTCGATGGACCTGTGTCTTTGTTCAACCATCCTCTATGCTATCCAAAAGGCGGGGGGAAAAGTTTTGGCTTTAGATACACTGTTCTGCAGTCTATATTAACAGCTGGTAAATTTCAAGAACCTGCGATGAATTGCTATCACGCTTTTGAATACACTTGCTGCTTGAATTGCATATCTAGGCATCAAACAACAATCAAACCTTACTATACAGTACATGGGATTTTTGGTTCTGTTAAAAGTAATCACCACTTAACTAAAATGTGTATAGCAGTAAAAATCCTGTGAAATTATTTTTTGAATTTTGAGAACTAGTTGTAATGGGCATTTTTGACTATCCAGTTGGTTACTTACAATGTATAATGATCAACAATGCTCATGCTATGTCTTGAGTAGATGGTTAGACTCAATATTTTTTTTACGTTTTGGTGGAATAGAAGGGATTGATCATTACAATACAATTCATATACGTATATTTTAGTTTCCCTAGCCTGGAAATATTCTTCTTGTATGTGTAAAACTAATTTTAGGGCCTGGCAACCCCATCATAATTACATAAACATAAGGCGTAGAATTTATCAACTGAGTTTTATTTTGTTGCCAACGCAAACTCAAATACATGATTAACAAAGAAGCTGGTGATAGACATCAATAAATATCAAATACCCGTACCAGACAGATGATACATAATGTAGTTTTAGTTATACTCCAAAAAACTTGTTTGAACATTACAGCACTGTTCAGGACTACACAAAATCACACCGTGCACAAAAAGTGCACTATCCCCTGCGCCATAGAAACACAAACTATAGCTATGCATGTGTGCCTGACGTCAGAGACTCGGACACATGCATATAATTTTGTCAGCACAGAGAACTGTTTAAAAATGCCTTTCCATTGCATAGATGTCAGTATAAAAAAACCTATACACATAAAACTATTTCAAAAGGTCTTATATTTTGCCTACCCTAAATCATCACCCCACAAACCAACATGCTATTGAAATTTAGAAAAAAACAAAACACATTTCTTTGCACTTTTCCCTATATTCTATACATCTCCCCCTAAATAAATAAAATATTCATATACAGTTATGAGATCCATTAGTTAGAAAATTGCAAAAACTGTAGACAATGTAACTATACCAGTTACCGATATTTTTCTTCGGTACTCGCCGATACTGGAAGTCCAATTAAGGAAGCCAGGCAGCGTGCAATGACTCGCCACCTGGCTTCCTGATTAGCTGGGAAGCCGTCTCCACGCTCCAAAGCCGCATGGAGACGGCTTTCTGGCCAATCAGAAAGCCGGGGGGCGGGTAATGACTCACCGCCTGGCTTCCTGATTGGCCAGCTTCTCGACCAATCAGGAAGCGAGTCATTACATGGAAAGCCGGCTCTATGTTCACCAGGTGACGAGGGAGCATGGAGCCAGCTTCCCGGCCAATTAGGAAGCCGGCAGCGTGTAATGACTTGCTGCCCGGCTTCCTGATACCGGGAGTTCAGGTATCGGGCTAGGCATCGGAGCATTTGGGCAAGTACGAGTACTCGCCCAAATACTCGGTATTGGTGCATCCCTAGTTCACACAATGTCTGGACCAGATCTGCAAATGCAGTGTGTTTTTGCCATGTTCCGGTGCAGGTTTTTTTTTTTAACCTTAAAATGGCCTTTCAGGTGCAGTCCTGTAGGTTTGCATGCATTTTTAATGTGTTTACATGCGTTTTTGTGCATTCCAGACCAGAAAAAAAGGTTTTCCCCGCACCAGAACGGACTGCCCGAGTCCAGAAATACCATAGGAATACATTGGGATGCATTTCTGATAGAAAATAGATCTAAAGAAGAAAGGTTTGACGGTAAAAGAGCCTGTCTACCCCTCCCACCTCACAGCAAAGATCAGGGGGTATATCTTGAAACATGTATATCTTGAAAACCAAAATGATTTAATTGAAAATGTAACTGCATGTTGATCGGGGAGAGGGGATAACAAGGTAAGGTATTATATGCTTATAATACCTTCAGCTTTAAGCTAGCCATCAACATGAGATGGTGGTCAGAAGCACAGAATGTTGAAAGATCTTTCCATAAACATGCGCAATCATGTTACCCCAACCAGACACAGCTGGCACTGGCCTTATATCTGCGTCGTAATAGCCTTTGTGAAGATAATACATTTTTGATCATTGACTTGTACCATCCACAAATAGTCACCAGGAGAATGTCTGCAGAGCTTGCTTTCCGTCTACAGAAATACAATTGCTTTTTGATGCAACCACTACCATCTCATGCCTATGGCTAAACTTTGTATATCAGTAGCAACACTCTTTAAAATGACACACACAGAAACACAGTGTTTTAAATAAAAGGTTAACATCGACCCTTCATTCATTATAGACACTAATCACCCTTGTACCCTTGTTCAGGTTTAGTGCGAGTATAACAAAAATAGATTTAAGACAAACACACACAAACATAAATTAATATATATAGATATACACCATAAATTCTACTAAAACCACAAATAAAAGAAGCAAAGCACACTAAAGTGTGGATTTCACACACATAAAGGCAGATGGGAGCTGTTAAGGCTGAACTTCAGACGCATATAAAAGATGCAAATCAATGCAGCTCTGTATTCATTAATATAACATATTTTTTTAAAATAAAAATGCAAGAAGTGTAAGTGCCACAACAGCCTTCTGCAGTTCCTGTACAAACCGGGAACAAAAGAAGAACCACAAGCAACCACTTAGCGCTGCGGTGCTTATTTGTTAACAAGGGACGTGCTGAAGTAAGCAGTGACAGAGAGTTGAGCTCATCAGCTTGCTGCTTCTCGTTTCACTGTCCAGTCATAGGCTGGGAAGGCACAAGACCAGTAAGTGTTACTTAAGTGCAATAGAAAAAAAATCAGGGCTCCTGCCCTTCCAGACAGGGCTCTGTAAATTCCATGACTGAATGAACAGAAATAAAAACTCTATAGCAGATAAAACATCTCCATGATATGTACTGCATTTCTGTATTTAGTTGATTGCCTAGAGTTCAGCTTTAAAATTTGGTAACAACAAATCCAAACCACACTTATTTGTTCAAACAGCTCCAAATTGTACAGTACCGTAGCATAAATCTTTGTATGAAGTCAGAAAAAAGCGTCATCAATCTTCTGTGTTTGTTATTAACAATGACACATAAGGTTGCAGGAAGATGATCTGTGATTCATGTTTGACCTTTCTTCTTTGGTAAGTATATGTTCAACACTTGGTTCATGATCACTAATGAAGGGTAGAGAGGCAAGAGAAGGCAAATGTACCATGCGTACCCCTTAATTTGAGCCCGAAACCAGTTTGAATACAAACCTAGAAGAACAGTGGCCATTGCAAGCAGATATATCAAAAGGCCACAAGTGGCATGGTACAGCTTGAGACGGGATACTGCAGTCACTCGGGCCAACCGGGGACAGAGAAGGGCAAACCCACACACAGTCTGACCACACGTGGCTATCAAAGTAACTAGACCGAGAATGCTGTGCCATGAGGTTAAGTGTGGCTGTTCACTGACGTTTTTACTGCAAACAATGAAGGATATTCCTATTCCTGCTAAGATCGGCACACACAGCTGTAGGAGCCAATGAAGTCGAGTCTTAGACTTGCGAGATAGAGGACAGAGAGGAGAAGTCTCTGGCGATAACAGCAATACAGCTTCTGTCATACAAAGGCAAAACTATAAGGAAAAAAGATAAACATAACGATCAATGTGATTTTTGTCAAAATTAGCATTTTTTACCACATATCTGAATCAATAAGAAAAACCTTAAAGTGACATTAAACACTCAGATTTTTTAACATAAAACAATACTGTAATGTGTGCCTTACTGTAATCCATGGTTGTTTCCCTTCTCTTTGCTGCTCTTCCTTTTAAATCGGTATCTGTTCTCATGCTCAGCAGAACTTGTTTTGCAGCAGACTGCCTTGTCTCAGGAATGGATACACGGTGTCTGTGTATAGGTTTGTATAGGCTTGTAACCTGAGCCAGCACTACAGGAAGAGGCCCTGAGCTGAAAAGGAAAGTTCTCCCCAAGCATGAGAAGACATGAGGATTTAAAAGGAAGAGCAGCAAAGAGAAGGGAAACTACCATGGATTACAGTAAGGCACACATTACAGTATTGGTTTATGTTAAAAAATCTGAGGGTTTAATGTCACTTTAAGGCTGCCATTCATATTACATGAACAGGGTGCTAAATGCAAAGCATGCTCAGCTCATCTGCTCTGAACATAGATTATTATTACCTCTTTTTTTATTTATCAGGGCAGCACACCTGAAACACAACTCCATCCACCTGGCCTCTACTTTTTTCCATAGGAAAGGTTGCTGTCGCAGCTTAAAAGGTGTTAGCTGGAGTTGTCCTTTAATTTGTTTTTTACCCAACATTCAAAACTAAATGTCTGACAACCCTTTGACAGCGTGACAATGGTGTTGTAGAATTTCTCTGCACAACAAATAGTACTGTCACCGTTACAGAAAGTGGGAAAATACCAAGGACATTAGGTGTAGCATAAGGGCAAGGTGGGGACAACGCAAGCTAATATGATTATATGAGCAGGCTTGGATTTAAAGGATCAATAGAGAGCGTTTCTCATGATACTTATTCTGTTGGTTAATAGCTTGTTGGTAGGTAGGGATAAAATCAAACTGTGAACACCACACAGAGCAGCAAGTCCAATGGGATTTAGTGTTTGGGCTGCCTGCAGGTATTGAATGTTTTTATGGTTGGTAAATGGATGACTGGCTCTCTCTGGAAGGTGACACCACTATATTAAAGCAAGAATTACAACACACAATTTATGAATTAGTAGTTCTCTGTGCAAGAGTTTAGGGAAATATAACATCCGTAAAAAAAGGCACCTACTGATTGAGTGTAAACTGCCAAGAAAAAAATAGTATTTGGATGTACCGTATTTTTCAAACCATAAGACGCACCTAGGTTTAGAGGAAAAAAACTACTTCTAGAGACAGTGAAACAACTTTATTTACCGCCTCCACAATGCCGCTGCCCGTGTCTAACTTCGGCATACTGAGACTCCTCCCTTTCCCTGTCATGTGGCATGACACAGGAAGGTGAGAAGCCAGTCAGACACATAAGTTAGACAGCGGTAGCACGGCCAGCGGCATTATTGAAGAGGTAAATAATGCTGCTTCGCTGGCTCTATAAGTAGTACAAGCGGCCCTTACCCTCCCATCGTTCAATCAAGTGATTACCAGTACACCATCAGACCTGCCACCTCAGCTCACACACACATCACACTGCAGGAGCCGCTGGGCGCGTGTGTGTGATAGCTGAGGCGGCAGGGCTGCTGGCGCAGGAGATTGTCGGGACCTGGGGGGGAATATTCGCTCCATAAGACGCACAGACATTTTTGCCCGTCTTTTGGGGGGGAAAAGTGCGTCTTATGGAGCGAAAAATACGGTAAGTCATTGGAAAACAAAAAGCACTACGTAAGTAGTTGTTTTCTGTAAGATCAGTCATCATAGTAAACAATGGGCAACAGTCATTTACAAACTTAAGGTAATAATCTTAAAAGCTAAAGCCTTGAAGTACTGACCATGGGTTGAGAAATTGCTTCTTTGGGATCCCATTAAGACCAGTACCGTAACCAAATACCTGCATTTGATCACATAGTTGACTGCCTTTAATACCCCACAGAAGAGCTTTTTCAAAGCCAAGGGTATCATCTATGAATTTAGGGGAGTGGGTTTGGGTAGAAAACCTGGAGATATTTTTAATGAAGTGTCAATTTAATGTGCTCAGAAAGCCCTTGCAAGATAAATGATTCTAGAGTTTCATTACCCCTTTCCTCTCTGCAGCTAATGTATGGTAGCACTTAGAAAAAGAGCGCCTTGATTTAGGATTTCAGATATGGCAGAAGACACTCAGCCATTCAGATATAGCAGAAGATTCAGATATAGCCAGAGTCAATGATGAAAAGGTTATAAAAAGTTGGCAGAAGAAGTTTGGAGCTGATGCAGACAATACTTCGATTGCGTATTGTTGTATGGCATCTTGTCACTAATACAATACAGGCATTGCCGAGTACAGGGTGCTAGGAATCCTGAGTTTCCAGGATTTCTTCAAGTGATGCCTAGCAATTTAGTCCAGGAGACAAGTCATCTTCACTCCCAAGGGTTAACCTAAAAAAATCTAGAAAAAAAACAGCAAAGTCTGTCCCGTAGACAGGAGTAAACAGAGGACAAGAGGATAGGAAGGACATTTGAAAATTTCCTGTCCAGGTCGAGGGAGCAGAATCTTCATCCAGGAGTGCTGTCCTGCTGATCAAACTGAAAGGTATTTACAAAAAGGCAAACAGAGACAGAGGTGAAGACGTGCAAGAGAACATGAGGAAAACGGGCACCAAGCAGGAAAAATATTATAACACCAATAGAAAAAAATAATTATATATATATAGAAAGATATACTCCTCTCTTTATTTCTTATTTCTATTCACTTATAGCAGATATTTTTTAACTACATATAGACAATCCTTCTGAAGACAGTCAACCTTAGCCAAGTCAGAAATGCTGATGTAATGATGTTCTTACTGTACAATAGATCATTGAAAAAAAATAAGCCCGACCATTTTTTCTTTTTGTTTAAAATGATTGTTTAATGCTCGAATCAAATGTACAGTTCAAACGAGTTTAAAACAATATGATTCTTTCATTGAAATTACACTTATATTGTACAATTGTATCAGTATGTATCCCTGCATTAGACGTAACACAAATTTGCAGTTTTAAAGCACTAAGTGGATTAAAGGAGAACTATGGGGTCAGGGCTTTTCCACATAGTTCTCCTAAGGGTCACGGGAGAACACAAACTAGTGACCCAAAGCTCAGTATAGCGGGAGCTACAGCTCGCACTATACTGAGACGCCGCAGCCGGAACGGATCCCGACATTGCTGTCGAGATCCACCCAGCTGCGGGATTGACAGCTGGCTCTGCCTATCTAGAGGCAGAGCCAGCTGTGCCCACCCCTCCCCCGTCCGTTCCGCCAGTCAGCGCTGGAGGATCGGACAAGGGAGGGGGGGAATCCCTGCAGGGAGCCATGAGTGACAGTCACGGCTCTCTGCAAGGATAGATCGAGAAGTGAGCAAGCGACGGTATGTGTTCGCTCACCTCCCGATCTACTGAGCCGACCTGCGACAGTTTCATTGTCACAAGTCGGCTCAGATTATGAGGCTCATAGTTCTCCTTTAAGGAGAGAAGAGGCAGATCTGTCACCAACTCTGCTCGTGCAAGCCTTAGCTATGGGTCACAGGTACTCCTGGTACACCGTGTTTGCCAAGCTCTACTTCTCCAAGCCCTTGCAGCCAGGCACATCTCAGTGCCTGCCAGCTCCTCTGTTCTCTCACTAGTTGCCTGGCTGTTTCCACTGGTGGTCCTATCGCATGTCCCTGCTATGTCTGCTAGTATCTGAGGAAGTGACCTGGGGAGGCAGGATGCAGAGTTCAAAGCCCCATGAGGGGGTCCTTAGTGAATACCGCCCACCCCTTAGGCTCCGCAGTGAACATTTTCATAGTCAGGGCAGGGTTCAGTTCACTCTGTTCATGAAACTTTGTATATACTTTTTGCATCAAAAACTATCGATGCAGCCAAAACCCCTCAAGATGATACAGCAAATAAACATAGCTAAATGTTTATGGATGTCTTGGGAATTTTCATCCAATACTACTCAAAATAATGAGTTTGTTTGGTACGTGCCCTCATATATAGGGATGTAGGTTTTACTGCCCTCATGTGCTTCAAAGTCAAACATTCTATAAACCTGCTTTTTTTTGGATTTAATACAGTTTCAGTACAGAAGTATAGAAACATCATGAGGATTCTATAAAGAGAATCAGTGATTCACAAATGTTTGATTCATTTAAATATTTCCGTGCTCATCTTGTCTGATTTCCGGAGAGTCATGCAGGAAATATGATTCATGACTTGATGATTCTCCATAAACTGGACACCTCTACATGAATACATTTAGGTGCAAATAACATTTGCCTCATTTGTTTATTGACTTCCCTAGTGACAATATTTTCTACTGAATATAAGACATGAATAGAAAAGACACAACGGCAACAGGACTAAAAGAGACATGCATGTTTTTTGCAGGTACACAGTCTGCCTGAATCCAGATTAAACCCCATGCTGATAAGGAATACATATTTTTTTCAAGGTTAAGCTATCACTGTAGATACCACCTTAATTCTTTTCAGATGAAAACTAGGACAAATAGAGAGTGTGAATCTTCCACTAGGGACAGCAATAAAAACCTGACAGGCCCTGAAGTGGACTTGCTTGGCCTGCCCAAATTGAAAAACAGGCAGAGATGTATTTTTACATATAAGCGATCCGCCGGCTATAGAGCCGGCTGATCACTTGTATAAGGTGCCGGTATGTGCGCCCCCCTCCACTGGTCTCGAGCTCCGCTGTGCCTGGTGCGAGCCCGGGACCAGAATGTGGAAGTGATGTATATTACATCACTTCCGCATTCTTATGTCACTCTCCGGCATCAGAAGCTGGAGAGAAGCTGATGAAGCAGATCTCTGCTTCATCAGCTTATTTGGGGGTCCCTAGGTGACATTAGGGGTCTTGGGGACCCTTGATGTCTCCATGAAGAGGACCTGTCACATCTCTTTGGTATCACATAGGAGGATTTCTTAGCCACCTCTGTGATAACAATAACGTTAAGTTAAAAAAAAAAAAAGTGGGAAAACAAAATTAAAGCTGCAAAAAAAAAAAAAAAGTCACATGAAAAAGAATTTTAAAAAACCACAAAAATGTTTTAAAGTCCCCCACCCATACATACACGCGTGCAAACATGCGTCGGGTGCGCATATGTGCGAAAATGACGATTGTGCCCACTACGGAGCACACGTTACATATCGCCGCGAACTTCGCAGTGAGAGCAATCATTCTAGGGCCATCAATCACTGATAACACTAAACTGATGAGCAGTAAAAGCTTTTAAATCGTCGCCTATGGCCAATTTTGGGTATGGTAGTTTCTTGCGATTTCACAGGTGCGTGCAATTGTAAGGCTTGGCATGTTTGGTGTCTATTTACCCGACGTGACCCCGTCTTTTATATTTTACTAAGAAATTGGGTAATAATAATTAATTGTTTCCTAACATAATGTAAAAAAAAAAACTTTTCAGTCATTTTTCCTTAATGTAGTAAAAAATAAAACCCCCAGTGGTGATTAAATACCACCAACAGAAAGCTCTATCTGTCCCCAAAAATGGTATAAAATGTGTTTCAGTACAGCGTTGCATGACGGAATAAATGTCAGTCAAAGTACCGCAGCGCTGAATACTGAGAAATGGCCTGGACAGGAAGGGGGTGTAAACACCTGGTCAGAAAGCAGTTAACATATAGATTTGAGACTACCATGTTTTTATCCTACAGTTCCTCTGACTTCAGAAAATATATACCGTATATACTCGAGTATAAGCCGAGATTTTCAGCCCATTTTTTTGGGTGAAAAGTGCCCCCCTCGGCTTATACTCGAGTCAGAGGGCCTTTAGTAAATTTGCAAACACGTAATATTAGTTTATATTTCTGGAATAAGTGAACAGGGTATGCATGGGAGGTGGCTCGGGAGGGGAGCCTAGTGCTGTTAATCTGCCTGGAGCCTTGATTAGTCTTAGTACAGTCTGACATTAATAAATACTATTTAAAAAAAAAAGGCAAAAGTACCAGACAAAAATGTAATAATATTGTAATGTATACAGTGTATGCTAAGCGTAAGTACTTGAATACTTACTAGTTCCAGGTCGAGCAAGAACTATTAAGAAGACTGTAAACCCAAGTGCTAATATATGTGCAAGGAATCCGCTGAATCTCCGCAGACAACGGTAAAGCCAAAAATCTGGAATCCTTGGCGAATCTACCCGAAGCTGGGTATACGGGAGTGAAACCTCAGACATTACCTAAAATTTTAAAACAATAAAGGGTCAGTTGTTGATTAACATACTTTAAGCCCAACTCTATCCAAAAGACTTTTTTTTTGGTCTGTAAGACTTAGAAAATAGAACATACTTGTGTTTGGGAGATTTCACCTGACCTCCTATTCCTGGTCCAATGAGGGTGGAGGTCGTCGCTGGGAAAACACGGACAATATTCCGCAATCTACATAATCTGTACAGTACCAAAATCAATAGAGGGCAGGAAGATCATTCTGTGGTAGCTCGACTCTTGGAGTTGCTGGTCCTTATCAATTTTAGTTTTCATTTTGGTGGGTGAGAAGCACTAAAATTAATGGTCAAAAACTTTTGAGCATCAAAAATCCATTGCGTTACTGCAGAATGAATTTAACAAATGGACATTTTGGGAGTTTAAAGCATCCCCTTCTTCAGGGCTCTGAATGTAAGCTAAATGACTGGGAGTGGGTCCAGTATTAGACCGAGAGCTAATTATTTTTGTGGTGCCTTAGTAACTTGGGAAGCTTTTATTCTGCCTATGTTCAGATCTGTGGCTGTGTTTCAAAAAACGTCAGTGTGAAATCAGTGGGCCATCTCTTTTTTATCCTACAAAGATTATTAAAAACATTGTTACTCTGTATCTAGGGCTTTCATAAATCGATTAGTTAGCTGATTATTAACTTTGATTAATCGGATAAAATAAAAAAATTTAAAATACTGTCTTAATAATTTATTTAAATTAAAGTACACAAATGCAACATTACAGACAAAGTTTACTTCAGAACAAAACAGTATGCAAATTTTTTGAAATCGCAATGCACTGGAACGCAGGGCCTTGCAGTACAGCGCGTTCCAGTGCGGACAATCGCACTGCAGACGGGAGGTGCATTTGGGATGCATTGAAATGAATGGCACCGCAAAGCACCTCCTGCAGCAAAACAGGTCAGGCCGAAACTGAAAATGACTTTTCCCACCTTTTATATATTTTTTTAATTGTATGTATTATATTAGACATTTTAATTCATTTCATGTACTTAAAATAGTGTGAATTGTAAAACTGAGCCAATATAATATAATAGCCAAACTTTTATTTAAAATCTAACATCATAAAACTTTCTATTTTTAATTTTAGTTTATTTAACTATTTTTTTGTTTGCATTTTTAATTTTTATTTATTTAACTTTTGTTTTACTTTTTAAACTTTTTAGTCTTTTTAATTTTAGTCTATTTAACTTCATTTTTTTAACTTTATTGCTGGGAGCAAAGCCAGCCTACTATTGGCTTTTTCAAATCGCAATAGCCAATAGCAGGCTAGCTATTGCACTCGCCCACTGCCTGCTGTCAATCAGCAGAGGAGGGACCTGACAGAAATAGTTGTCCATCAGGTCCCCCCCTCTGCTGATTGACAGCAGGCAGTGGGCAGGCGCAAATAGCTAGCTTGCTAATGCATTTTAAAATATCGATTTTTCCAGGATTTCTGCAGAGGTGACATAATTACTGTGCGCATGTGTGGGACTTACGCCATCTATGCCCGGCCAATCAAGCAGCCAAAGACAATGAACTTGGAAAAAGACAGGGACGAAGATGAAAGAGCCAGAACATCATAGCACTGAAGAGGATCCCTTTGGTAAGTAAGTCTGCAATAATGTGCTAATATGGTGTATGTATTATGGCTTAAAGCTGGGGCCTCTTTTTTATCAGCTATATTTCTTTGGTCCCCCGTCACCGACATCTCTGCCAAGGACACTTCCGGGTTACGGGTTACCAGACATCCTCTGCGACCATTGGGTGGCCAATGATGATGTAACTCCTGCACATAAACACAGGATGTAAGCTGGCCATACACTATGAAAATGTGCACAGTGATTTCCACTAGAGCTGCAGCTAACGATTATTTTCAAAATCGATTAGTTAGCCGATTATTAAGTTCGATTAATCGGTTAATCGGTTAAAAAATACATTTTAAAAAATGGCTCCAGTGATGGGACTTCTAGTTTGTATTGAGATTGCAGCAAGCTTGGAGCGGTGGAAGTAAAAAAGACAAAAAAAGTGTGGTGTACAATATAGTGAAATGAAAAGTGTAAAATTATACGTCAATGAATGTAGAATGGCACCGGCTATAGAGGACTACAAAACCCAGTGTAGCGCCCTCTAAAATGTCACTATTCAATTTAGAGATACCTGGACTGTAACCAGTCTAGATACTGATTATACAGAGCTCTGCATTCTATAGGTGTCCCTGAGTCTGCTGGATTGATTGCTCCTCCTGTTGCTGAGGAAAAGGGAGCCTTGGCATACAGTGAGGGAGGATCCACCCTCAGGTTATGACTATGCACCTGACCCTAGCCAATCCCTGAGTAGGATGACTCAGAGGCATGGTTGAGGGCAGGTGATAAAAGGTCTGGGGACATTGTGGAGAGCTCTCTCTTCCCCTAGGGGCCTCGCCCTAGGAGGACTGTGTGTGATGCAGGAAACTGGCCTGGGCCTCAGCACATGGCAGGTGCTGATGGACCTAGAGGCCTAGGATACACTGATACTTTGCTGGGCCCATACACGTGGCAGGTGATGGGTGCCTTGTTCTAAGAAGATACTACTACTAAACTGGAGTGCTCCTTGGCAGTTGCAGATGCTGAGGGCACAGAGATTCCAGATCCTGTTGCTACGGAAAAATACCTCACTGGGCCCATACACGTGGCAGGTGTTGGGTGCCTTGTTCTAAGAAGATACTCTCATTTAACTGGAGTGCTCCTTGGCAGTTGCAGATGCTGAGGGCACAGAAGTTCCAGATCCTAAAGAGGAAAATACCTGATGGAAGCTGGGTC